ACTGCTTACTCGAATTGCTACTCTCCCAAAGGCCTTCCTTAGACAGCTTCGCAGTTGGTCAAGGGCATGATGGACGACTTGGTGGGTTCATTCACAGTCTTAGAAAGGCAGATGGCAACAGGAGCTGTTGCAGATGATACTGCACGTAATTTAGCTTTGATATTCACTTTCGTACACCACCAAGTGCGCTTCCCTACCGAGCAACTAAATTGCGCTTACACCGACATCGGCTAAATAAACTGGCAGGGTGGACGCCAAATGTGTCCGACGAGATGTCGTTTGCATGCGACAGATGGGACGAGACAACACTCTCCTCCTCCCCTTCTCTCGTCTTCGTTTACTTTGCGTGTTGCCAACAGAATGCTGTCCAGAGCGCCAATGAAGCAGCTGCCACGGGAGTCAAGGCGGACGGTTGTGCAGACTAGCATGGCAAACGGTGAGAGTGTCACCAAACAGTCAAGGAGTTGCGGTTGTCGTGCAGCAAAGTGCACAATCTCCTCCTCCTTCCTTTCAGCCACGAAGACGTCCATCCCCATCCCCGAATGATGAGTGAGTTGGTGGCATACAATAGTTTAACAATCGTCTGTCTCACAACCAACACCACTTTGGTAAAGGCGGTGATATCTAACATGGGCCACCAAACGAGGCCTTATCCGCCCTCCAATCGGTCATTTGGTGGGACGTTAGTTTTGCTGTCTGCTTTTATGCCACATCACAGAGGCAGTAGCTTTGGTGCCCCTCTCAAAACCATCAACTCGTTTGCCATCGTTGGTGGTAGCACACCACCCACACCGTTCCATGTGCCTCCATCGGGTTAGTGGCAGTTGGTGGAAGAATGACTGGGAGGAGGTAATGCATCATGGTGATGTGTGGTGCACTGGTAGTTTGCCTGTTTGGAGTCAAAATCCCACCACCTAACCTCCATGGGGTGAGGGTGTCTGTGGGTCAGGCTAGAAGGCTCCAGCTGTCCTCTGTGTCAAACGAGCCCAGTCCACTCGATTCTTGTGTTCGGAGAGGTTTGAGGCGCAGTAGAGAAGCAGCAGTCACGAGAGCTCAGCAGTAGACATTGGGTGGTGTGGACTGCGTATTTGCAAACTAGTTGTCACATGGTTGTGTGCACGCCAAGCAGCGAGTTCCAGCCGATGGTGCCTCACACAATTTCAGTCAGTGTTCGTTGCATAGACTGTGAGAGGAAGTGGATTGCATAGACAGGCCCCACATTTGCTACCAACTGTGCCATTCCAACCCCAACGACGGTGTTAATGCGAGGTGGTGGCATGGACAAAGATGCATTCGAAACGCGATGGAGTAGTGCTCGTGAAGATCGGAAGTTAGTTTAAACATTAAGATAGTGGAAGAAAACTGTCGATGTCGGGAGGAGAAGACGTGACGAAGCCTTGAGTGGTCGATGGACCAAACGAGAGAACCGAACTTGCAATTAAAGCTCTGTGCATTCTCACACGCACAGCAGACCCAAATGCCTATCCCAATAGCCTCGAAGCATTCAACGTTCAACCGCAGGCTCCCTTGCCACACCACCGACAACCTCTCTGAGGCCATGAAGACGGGTTTGCATCTCAACAACCACTGTGGGGTGGATTTTCTCTCCCCCCACTTCCCCACTGGTGGAAGGCGTCTTTAATTCATAGTTGAAGCTGTTCGAATGGCGTCTATGACATCCTGACGCCCCATCACACAGTAATCCCTGCTTTATGTGGCACCAGCCAGCTTTGCAAGTGGCGCTTATTTGAATGGCTCGAACGACTGCATTCACAACCTACACTCAATCCTCTGCTCCCTCTTCTCAGCCTCAATGACTTTGCGCGGTGCCGATGCACACATTCACAACCATCCTCCATTCACCACAACCGAAGATGTGCCGTAGTGCAAATACTTGCGACTAAGCTT